TAGTTGTACGAGTCTGATATACCTATTTAACAGGGAATCCATCAACACATGAACAACAAAACACGTAATTTATCATCAACAAAAATGTAATTAAAAAATTATTACAAGTACCTTATCTTTGGCGGGCTGTTTTTTATGGACTTTGACAGAATCATGTGTGGGGATCTGGGTACCCATAGGTGAGTGGCTATCATGTCCAGATTCAACCAACTCAAATGCACATGAGTCTCAATGCGTAGATATATCTATCTTCTTATGTCCCTTACCTCGAGGGTTGGGCTTCACATCCAACTCAATGAGAAAAGTACTTTGCGGATTTGCAATCTCTCCTAACTTATGGAGAATTTCCAATTTCATAGCATAATCGGATGCATTGAATCGCTTAAGGATGAGATCAAACTTTGGTTCACAACTCAATTCCACTTTATCATTCTTCAACTTTTGTACTATCTCAAGAGTCCTCCAGTGCGAGTTAATGCTATCAAGTGGTATTGAACGACCCTGTCGGATGTAATCCGTAATCTCATGGGCACAAGGTAACCCGTGTGTTCATCAAACAACACATCCACATACTGAAGCATCAATGCCAACATCATCTGCTTGTTTACTCTCTGCTAAGGCATGATCTAATGCAGTAATAGAGATATTGCCTCGGAGCTCTCTAAAATATGATGGTTTGAACTAGTGTTGTACAACGGTTAAACTCTTCTCTAATGACGCCTTAATATCAACTTGTTGTAACTCAAGCAAACTATGGATCTTGGTCCAAGAACACTCAAAATTGACTTGGTTAGAACCAAGTTGCTGTTTAAGTTTTGTATGTGCACTTTCAGCCCTGTGTACAATGGAAACAATTAACATAATTAAGTTTAAATAATCAAAATCATAATGATCAACAGTGTAAGGTAGACAAATATATATTACCTGTTGGTTATAACATTCTCGAAATGCATACAACTATCTGTCCATATGGCAACAAACTTATCCTTATATGGAGTTAACCAACTTTGTGACATGCATTGCACTGCCTCAAGATATGTATCAAAATCCACAAGTAGCATAGCAAGACGTTCATTGTATTCAAGCTCAGTCGATAAGAGTACTAAGAAATTCCATGAAAAGATAAACTTGTTCCATTTCTCCTTACTCTCAAACACTTTCTTACATTTCACTAGTACATTTCTACTAATATGCCATCTGCATAATAAATGTCATGATGTAGAAAATACCTTGTTAATAGCATTCATCAAAGCAAGCTCTCTGTCTGTGACAATCACCTCAGGAATAGCAATGTCATCCAAGAGACTACGCAATATAGTTAACACCCAAACGTAGTTATCAATCCGCTCAAATTGGAGATATACAAAGGCTACAGAGAATGACATATTAGTGGATGTCGCACCAACGGTCTCAAGAAAAGGAAAACGTTATCGATTTGTCTTATATCAACACCTTTGAAAATGAACGGATGTGCCCAAAACAAGTCTGTAACAGTCATCATGTTGTTGTCACATCTATGCGGCTTAATGTAATTATGCTTTTTTTATTCACCCAACAACTGTTGCATCTGTGATCTCCCAACTTTCTCAATAACATTATTCCTATGACATACATTGTAAATGATTTTCATAGTGGTTACATTCAAAGCATCTTTTTGTTTCAAGGTAACCAAAATCTCTTTTGGTCTGACCATGCTTTTGGATACATCCACTAATAATGATGTTTCCTCTCTCTACAAATGAATGTCCTTCAAAATGTTTAGCAGGAGCATGGTTATGCATTCCACATGCTACATCTAGCATCCAATCATCAATAGCCATCAACTTACGAGCCCTCAACTTAAAGAGACACCCGTATTTCTTTGTACCTGTTATCTTCACAATTTTTTTTTTTGTTTGAATCATCTCTTTTAAATTTATTATGAGGTCTGTATTGACCACTTCTCTCATAGACAAAATATATCCTTGGTGTCCATGACCACCACCATAGTCCAATGTCTTGATGACAATCACAAAACCATTTTTCCTTCCAACGTCTCGTACCCAACTGAACAATTCTTTTTTGCTATTGAAAACTACATGTCAAATTCACCAAAGTCATCAAACATGCACAAAAAAAAAAAAAACACACTAATTTTCGACATGAGGCTACCTAATCAATAATAAATTGACTTGTGTAGTCAACAAGACATTCAGATCCAATATTACTGCATTCCGTGGATGCATAGTTCTAGAAAAAGCCCCCAAAAAAAAATGTTATACGTGTTAGGCAGTACAGATTCGAACGAAGCAAAATTGTTCGATTTTTTATAGCCGAACATTTGTTGTATGTTTGGCACTTAAAACCTGAATCATTGGCTCATTTTCGACACTACTAAATCAAACAATTACAATTTGTTCGGTTGTAGATAGTCGAACGTGAGTACTTTGTTGGACTCTGGGTTACTGAACGGATACAAATTGTTTCAACTCAAGCACGTAAACAAAAACGAAAAAAATAAATAAATAAATAAACATTTTCCTTGCTCCACTGTTCCAAATTAATATTGTCAGATGTATCCAGCATTTAGTTCAATCAAAATCTTCAATAATATGATATTTTTTGATTATTTCTTTAAGAGTTCTTGATTTTTGTCTTAAAGTTTTTAGATTCTTGAGAGAAAAGATACTGAAATAACGTTTGAGATTCTTAATTTATATTGTATTCATTATGATAATTTTATAAAAATGTGTATCGTAATTCTTTGTCTTTTATAATTACTAGCCTATCACCCGTGCTATGCACGGGATAATTATAAATATTAATATTTGTTTTAGTTTTTTTTAATACATAAATTATGTTTTTTAAGATTTTTTATAAAAATAATTTAACAATCTCATCCCTAATCATAATGTATGGGAGAAGTTGAAAAGGGTACTGCAGTAACTATGCACAGATTGTATTTATAATTATTTGTATGGAGGGATTTTAAATACTGATCAGGGAATTTTAACCAAATCAATAAATGAAAACATGTGGAAAGACATGTGGATTGGAAAAAGTTAATAAATGCTGATTAGAGAATTTTGGCCAAATCAATAAATGCTGTTTTTTTTTTAAATAAAAAATTTAGAAAATTAAGATTAGGAGATTGAAACTCCCACAAAATTTGGAGGTTAGAAAAAAATCAAAAAATAAAGATTAAGATATTAGAGCTCTCACAAAATCTATGACATATAGTATAGATTTTTCATAAAGTTAATATTATAATAAAAAATAAATCAATTAATGATTTGTCTTTCGATAAAATGTGATGCGCGCAACCGTAAAAGGTGCAGGATTCCCTCTTAGTCGAAGTTCGCTATCAAAGCCCTCCCCTCTTCGAATTCCAGTAAGTGAACTCAAAATCAATGGCTAGGGCTTCGAGCAAACATGATCGCGATCAAGCTCTGGTTCCACTCTCTCTCTCTCTTACTCTCATTGCTTCCTGTTTTCCAAGAGACTACGCAATATAGTTAACACCCAAACGTAGTTATCAATCCGCTCAAATTGGAGATATACAAAGGCTACAGAGAATGACATATTAGTGGATGTCGCACCAACGGTCTCAAGAAAAGGAAAACGTTATCGATTTGTCTTATATCAACACCTTTGAAAATGAACGGATGTGCCCAAAACAAGTCTGTAACAGTCATCATGTTGTTGTCACATCTATGCGGCTTAATGTAATTATGCTTTTTTTATTCACCCAACAACTGTTGCATCTGTGATCTCCCAACTTTCTCAATAACATTATTCCTATGACATACATTGTAAATGATTTTCATAGTGGTTACATTCAAAGCATCTTTTTGTTTCAAGGTAACCAAAATCTCTTTTGGTCTGACCATGCTTTTGGATACATCCACTAATAATGATGTTTCCTCTCTCTACAAATGAATGTCCTTCAAAATGTTTAGCAGGAGCATGGTTATGCATTCCACATGCTACATCTAGCATCCAATCATCATTAGCCATCAACTTACGAGCTCTCAACTTAAAAGGACACTCGCATTTCTTTGTACCTATTATCTTCACAATTTTTTTTTGTTTGAATCATCTCTTTTAAATTTATTATGAGGTCTTTATTGACCACTTCTCTCACAGGCAAGATATATTCTTGGTGTCCATGACCACCACCATAGTCCAATGTCTTGATGACAATCACAAAACCATTTTTCCTTCCAACGCCTCATACCCAACTGAACAATTCTTTTTTGCTATTGAAAACTACATGTCAAATTCACCAAAGTCATCAAACATGCATAAAAAAAAAACACACACACACACTAATTTTCGACATGAGGCTACCTAATCAATAATAAATTGACTTGTGCAGTCAACAAGACATTCAGATCCAATATTACTGCATTCCGTGGATGCATAGTTCTGGAAAAAACCCAAAAAAAAAAATGTTATACGTGTTAGGCAGTACAGATTCGAACGAAGCAAAACTGTTCGATTTTTTATAGTCGAACATTTGTTGTATGTTTGGCACTTAAAACCCGAATCGTTGGCTCATTTTCGACACTACTAAATCAAACAATTACAATTTGTTCGGTTGTAGATAGTCGAACGTGAGTACTTTGTTGGACTTTGGGTTACCGAACGGATACAAATTGTTTCAACTCAGCACGTAAACAAAAATGAAAAAAAAAAATTAAAAAATTAACATTTTCCTTGCTCCACTGTTCCAAATTAATATTGTCAGATGTATCCAGCATTTTGTTCATCAAAATCTTTAATAAGATGATGTTTTTTGATTATTTCTTTAAGAGTTTTTGATTTTTATCTCAAAGTTTTTGAATTCTTGAAAGAAAAGATACGGAAATGACGTTTGAGATTCTTAATTTATATTGTATTCATTATGATAATTTTATAAAAATGTGTATCATAATTCTTTGTCTTTTATAATTATTTTACATAAAGTTAATATTATAATAAAAAATAAATCAATTAATGATTTGTCTTTCGATAAAATGTGATGCGCACAACCGTAAAAGGTGCAGGATTCCCTCTTTGCAAAACGTAGTCGATGTTCGCTATCAAAGCCCTCCCCTCTTCGAATTCCAGAAAGTGAACTCAAAATCAATGGCTAGGGCTTCGAGCAAACATGATCGCGATCAAGCTCTGGTTCCACTCTCTCTCTCTCTTACTCTCATTGCTTCCTGTTTTGTTTGCGTTCAGTATGACTTGTGTGTTGTATATATTTGTACAAGTAGAGCAGTACAAAGACTCTTGAATTTTTAACTCATTAGTTTAGAAATTTGATTCAATTATGAGCTGTTACTAGGTTAGGTGTTTATAATCCTTGAAGAAATTGTACTCGATTCTATCTCTGTATATATATAGTGTTGGCACACATTATTGTGCGCGAGTGAAAAAATTAGATTGGCAATTATGAATTTAATAACAGTTAAATAGGGTTAGAAACTACTCAAAGTAGAAACAGTGTGAGCCGGCTTCGTTTACAGCACCGTGCTGTTTGGTTTATAATAGTATAGATAAGCATTCAATTATGAGCTGTTTTGGTTGCTCAGAAAACTAACGGAAAGAAAAACCAATGGAAATGTTGTCCTTCATGTTGTTTTACTTTTTCCAAGAGGAAATACAGATGAAAAAATTACGCCCAGTTTGGCAATTTAGTTTTAACTGTGGTACTTTTAGTTTCGTACATTACATAACGTTGCGTTTGGTTGAAGGATTTAAGAAGGGATTTGAAAATAGAAAGGAAAATGGCGTGTGAAATTAGGTGAAATGTATGTATATTTTATTCACATTTCACTTACCTTTTCCTTTTTCCTTCCCAAATTCCTTCCCAAATCAAATCAAATTTTCTTATTATGCTATATACTTTTTCATCAACCAAATGGATTTTTTTTTTTTAGATTTAACTTGTGTTGTTTTTTTGAATTATTAGAAGGATGCAAGCAAATCTCTCTTTATTTTGTTAGGGTGATTTTAATGCATCAATTTGTAATTCAAGCTAGGTATAATGAAAGAAATGTAATGCTCATATCATTTTGTTGGATATGTGAAAGGTTCAAATAAGCGATTTTTAAAGACTTCTGGCGCATGAATAAGTTAGAAAGTATTTGTTTTTGCATGCTATAATTTCTAGTTGGAACTGTTCCATCTACCAGGATTTCCAGGGATTTTTGAACGACTTGCAGGATTGGGAGATGTCGCTTAATGACAAAGACAAGAAACTAAAATCACGAGGTCTTGTCAAGGAAAAGTTGGTAATTATACAACCCTTAAATTTATTGATTTTCGTTATTAATAGTGACACTTCAATTTAAATGAGAAACTGATCAGGACCTTCATTGTTTTGTTAAATAAATATAACCCTAAAAAAGTTCACTATCTGTCATGACCTTCTTTTGGGTCTCACTTACATAGTTGTGCTGCTAAGAAGTATGGATACTGACACATGATACAAATACAACATAGCATGGTAACACCAACATGACAATTTAAAAAAAAGGAAAGAAAAAGGACACAATATGACACCACAAGGACAAGGTAACAAATAAAAATATTTATATATACCAAAAACCAAACAAAAGTTAAGCTCTGTGTCCAAATCAAGTGGGATCGCCTATCAGAATATTTTTTTGTCATTTTTCTCTACCAAAAAAAAATATTTTTATATATATGAATAAAAATAATAACTATCTCTTCATTTTTACATTACAAATATTTCAATATTTTATTATATCAAAATAGAAAGAAGTTATATTTCACATTATGCATATTGGAAAAGAAGTGCGAATAAAAAATCATATATCTATTTTGGATAGCTCAATTCGTAAACAAAAAGGAAGTTTTGAGCTTTAAAATTCATAAAATTTAAAGGTGAGGAATTAATTGATATAAATTTACATTATTTATATTTTACTTTAGATCTTGAGTATTTTTAAATTACAATTTTTTTTTTTTTTTTTCAAGCAATGGACATGCTTAACAAGTGTTCGAGACGTGTACCAGGGAGTGTCCAACTAGTGTCGGTGTTTAACATGGACACGACACCTTGGAATTATCCGTGCTTCTTAGGAGTGTTGAATGCAATTTCATCAAAACTTAAAGCACAAGTTTATAATTGATGCTTCATTGTTTGTTTTCCTAAAGAACTATGTACTTATCAAACTAACCTTGGTGACAAGTACACTTTTTTTTTTTTTTTGTAAATCAATAATTTTACTGGAACTTCTGACACAGAGATGTTGTGAACAATGTGACTCAACTTATTTGTGAGTTCTGACCAAAGAATGTGTTTACAAATGGAGGTTCACTTGTGAAACTATGAGTATAGAACAATTGATGTGATTGTATGTAAATCTATGTGATAAAATTTGATGGTTATCCTTGACGGTGTCATATGCTCAGGAGACAAGAGTAGTTGATGAGGACAGAAAACTGGTGGCAAAAGCTGCCATATCTGATAATTCTAGTAATGCAAGACAATATGATTACTCAAGAAATTATGATTCAATCACGCATTTATCAGGTGATTTCATGAAAGAAGAGAGTTCTCCCGATGCTACATCAGAGAAGGAGTTGGTATGATTTCTTCTATTTGAGTAAATTTTTTTAATTCAAGATACAATTGTAGACTTTGATGTTGTCGATATTGACATGCATTGTTTGTCAATTTACAGGGTAATGAGTACTTTAAACAGAAGAAATTTAAAGAAGCAGTTGACTGCTATTCTAGGAGCATTGCATTATCACCAACTGCAGTAGCTTATGCAAATAGGGCAATGGCTTATCTCAAAATGAGAAGGTTAGTTCTTCATGTTAGAATATTTCCTTGTTTAGATTAGATTGTGATTGATTGATTGTGATTCCTTAATCAGTCAATCAATCAATCAATATAAAAGTGATTGCTTAATCAGTGCCTTAAGGCTTCCTTTTGTAATAGTTGATTGATTAATATAAAGGGTGATGATATCATAATCATCACCCAAGTTTTATATTCTCTTAAATTACATAGTATCAAAGCCAAAACCCTAAAAACTGTCACCCACACAGTTACTACCACCAACCAGCCATCACCTATCACGACCCATCCTCCACCGCTGGTTCTTGAGTCTCTGTCGGAACCAGCCAAGGTGCCACATAGCTGTTTCGACTTCAGCCGAAGGCCCCTCTAGCCTAGTCGACCCTTGTGAGGGTTGTCCTACCCTCTCTCTGTGTATTTCGGCTCCTGTGGATGAGTGTTTGAGGGCTAGCCATCTTCTGTTGCCTTAAGTTTCTTTCCTCTATTTTCTTGAACATGATTCAGCGCTTGTTTTGATTGGAGATTCATTTTTTCCGTATTTGATTTATTTTTTAGGTCCATAGATGGCCCATTAATCTGATTGTTATGCTTCCATAATGGTCTGTATGTGATTTTGCTTGTTCCAACCCATTCCATTCCTTTCCTTTTTCCATTCTTGTGAGTTGTGCAAAGTTTTTTGGGTTGAAATTATAGAGTTCTTATGGCAGACCTAACTAGTGAATCCACCACTACTTCTCACCCATCTAAAGGGGAGAGCTCCAGTTCAGTTATGACTACTGCATTTGAGAACCTGAGCCCTAGCCTCAAAATCACCGCCGCTTGGTTTAATGGTCATAATTACCTTTCATAGTCTCAATGTCCGACACTTTTTCTGAAGAGTAGGGGGAAAATGGGATATGTTAATGGGAGAGTTCAAGCACCAGGCATTACGGATCCTGGCTATGACTAATGGGAGATTACCAACTCTTTAATCATGGAGTGACTTATTCATTCCATGGTTTCTGAGATTAGTGAAGGTTACTTATCCATGGATATTTTGAAACAGCCCTTGCTACATATTCTCGAAAAGTTAATTTTTCTCAGTTTTTTGAACTGCACCGGTCTATTGAACGCTCAATACAGGGGGATCAGATAGTTCTCCGGTATTACACCTTTCTAACTAATGGTTGGAAACGCCTAGATTATCTCCTAGATTACAAACCTGCCTGTACAGTTGACTCAGTTGGTTACTAGAAGTTTCTTGCATAGGAGAGGATCTTTAAGCTTTTGTAAGACCTCAATATAGAGTTTGATCCGGTCCGGAGTCGTGTTCTTGGTATGGATGTTCTTCTATCTCTTCAAGAGGCCTTTGTATATGTACAGAATGAGAAGAGTCATCGTTCTATTATGTTATCACAAATTACTGGAGACCGTTTAGCATTATTTTATGCTCTTTCTCAATATGGAGTTAGTTTGTTACGATCTCTTTCCCATCCTTCAGAGAAGGATATTGTGTTCTATGATTATTGCTGCAAGCCGCAGCATACTCGTGAGACGTGTTGGAAGCTTCATGGGGCTCCATCAGGGATTCTGGGTGATCAGTCTGGTATTAGAGGCGATCGATCAGGCTAGTCTAGAGGACGTGGCTCTAATCAACGGGCCCATCACTCTAGTGCTGTTGACATCCTTGATTCTACTTCCACTTCAGTTGGTCCGACTTCTAATAGTTTATCTAACGTGACTTCTCCTGAGCTTGAGCTTGTTTTGCGTCATTTGCTGGCCTATTGGTCTTCTATTGCTCCCAGTGCATCTTCCTCGTAGTTTGCCCATTCAATTAACTTAGCTTCTTCTCCTAGTGTTTTTCTTTCCTATAAGTCTTTGCCATGGATTATTGATTTTGGTGCCTCAGATCATATATCTAGGTCTTCTGACCTTTTCTCAGCATATAAGCCCTCTTCAGGTCAAGACAAAGTTAGGATTGTAGATGGTACTGTTTCTTTTATCTCTGGGAAAGGTTTAATTCATGTCACTCCTACCTTACCTTTGTTTCTAGTGCTCCACGTTCTCAATTTTTCTGTTAATCTTCTATCCTTAAGTCGTATTACTAAGGATTTGAACTGTAGTGTGACATTTTTTTCCTGTTCACTGTCTTTTTCAGGACCTTGTCACGAGGAGGACGATTGGCAGTGGCCGTGCAGAAAATGGTCTCTATTTCTGGGATCAACCGACCAAGCTTGCTTATCATTCCATCCAGTTCCCAACCACCAATGAGGATTTATGGTTGTGGCATTGGCTTCTTGAGCATCCTTTTTTTCATTTACTTAGGCGTTTATTTCTGTCTGTTTTTACGAACAATAATATGTCTGAGTTTCTCTGTGAGTTTTGTCAACTTGGCAATCAACACCAAGCTTCTTTTGCTTAAAGTCTTAATAAAAGTTTAGCTCATTTTTCTTTAATACATTCTGATGTGTGAGGTCTAACTCGTGTTATGTCTTTAAAAGGCCATAAATGGTTTGTTACCTTTATAGATGATTTTTCTCGTACTACTTGGGTGTATCTTTTGAAAGAAAAAAGTGTGGTTCTCTTTTAAAATTTTCATAAAATGATTTGTACCAAATTTGGGGCCATTGTCAAAATCTTGTGTTTTGAAAATGGGGGTGAATACATCAATTCAGGTTAGAGAGCTATTTTTCCACTCATGGCATTATACATCAAATATCTTGCACCAACACCCCTTAACAAAATAGGGTTGCAGAGTGCAAGAATCGTTATCTTCTTGATATGACCTGCTGTATGTGTTTTTTTATGAGTGTGCCTCACTTCTACTAGGGCAAGACCGTTCTCACCGCAACGTATCTCATTAATCGCCTTCCTACCCAGGTTTTGTAAAAACAAGCTCCACTTCAAGTCCTTTCTCAGTTCAGAGTCTTTGTTTTTCATTCTTCCTAAAATATTTGGTTGCGTTTGTTTTGTCCACAATCATTCTTCAGAGTGTGCCTCACTTCTACTAGGGCAAGACCGTTTGTTTTTCATTCTTCCTAAAATATTTGGTTGCGTTTGTTTTGTCCACAATCATTCTTCTACTTGTGCTAAGTTGGACCCTTGCTCTCTCAAGTGTGTTTTCCTCAAATACTCGCTTACTCAAAAAGGGTATAAGTGTTATCACCCTCCTTCTCGTAAGTGGTTTGTGTATATGGATGTCACATTCTTTGAGTCCCAGTCCTACTTCTTGTCTTCTCCAGTGTCATAGTCATCCCTTCAAGGAGAGCCTTGGTGTGAAGAGATTCCTGTTGTCCCTGTTGCTCCCATGGTGGAACTAGTTGCTCCTGCACCACCTATTACTGGGACTATAGAATCCAATGTCACCAAGGATAGGGAAGAGCAAGTTTATGTCAGGGACAAAGACAGACAAAAAGTTACTTAAATACAAGAGACCACGTCTGTTCACCCATTGCCATTTCCTGTTTCTGACAAGAGTCCAGGTAACTTTGAACCTCTTGTTTCTCTTGAGTCTACTGATATTGCTATTCCTGACATTACTGATCTTGAGTAATGTCAAACATTTCAGGATGTTCTCACTACCTCTGAATGAAAACTTGCCATGATTGCGGAAATGAAAGCACTTCGTAAGAATGGCACTTGGAATTAATTAAGTTACCGAAGGGCAAACGACCGGTGGGAGGCAAATGGGTGTATATTGTGAAGCGCAAAGCAGATGGTTCCATTGAGCGTTACAAAGCTCGACTTGTGGCAAAAGGTTTCACTCAGACTTAGACTTTTGCACCAGTGGCTAAGATGAATTTAGTCAGAATACTTCCTTCTCTAGCAGTTAATTTAAATTGGCCACTTCATCAGTTTGATGTAAAAAAATGCTTTCTTACATGGTGATCTAGAAGAAAAAATATATATGGACATTCCTACTTGTTTTGAGGATCATTAGACAGAGAGTAAAGTATGTAGACTTCGGAAGTCGTTATATGGTCTCAAACCTTAGTTGCAGGAATCGTGTAACCAGGTGGCGATTCTGAGTAAGAATCGCGATTCCGCACTTCCTAGAAAGAAACGTGTAAGAATCGCGTTTCTGTGGAGAGAGAAACGTGATCCAGTCCAAGATGGGATCGTAACGGGGGGAGAGAGAGAGAGAGAAACCTGAACTCACTGTCGCCTTCTCCTTCGACATCGCCTGGACCTTCGACATCGACCTTCGACATCGCCTGGACCTTCAATCTGCTCTTGCCTCGCGATTTGCTTGCGATCTGCTCGCGATCGCTCTCGCCTTCGATCTTCTCGCCATCGCCTTAGCCATCGCCATCGCCATCGCCATCGCCTTCTTCGATCTGCTGTTTCTTCTTCTTCTTCTTCTTCTTCTTCTCTCTCTCTCTCTCTCTCTCTCTCTCTCTCTCTCTCATGTTCTGTTCTGTCTCCCCCCTCCATTTTTAACATATAATAAATAATATAATTTGTTATATAAGAATAAATCTAATTAAATCAAATATAATAAAAAATATCAAATCAAATCTATAAAATAAATATCTAATTTTTAACTTTTATTTACTTTAACATACTTTATTATTCTTTATTTGTTATATTTTTTATTTATAATATACATCAATTAAAAATAAAAATAATTATATAAATAAATTAAAAATATTATCAATAAAAATAATACCAAGATAAAAATAATAAATATATTTAAAAATAACTATTTAACTCACCTTTATATAATAAACATATTTGAAAAATAACTATATTCAAATATATATATATATATATATTACCGCTCCCCGAGGCGCTCCCAACCTAAGAACTTCTATCGGCTCACGCTTCCCTGCTCTCGCTCCTGCTTCGTGCAACTAAGTCTCAAATAGTTTAAGGGTTTGGTTTGAGAAATACACTCATGCCTCATTTGGCAACATCACTTTTTAGCTTAAAAGCCAAAAAATCATTAAAAAAATCAAAATGCCAACATCTTATACCAGAAAGTCAAAGATTCTTTTTTCTCTCTACTTTTTGCACATCTGTTC